AAACAGCCCCGGGCCGTGCCATGCTCCCAATGGACAGAGGCTGCTCCAGATGCCAGCACAGCTCCTCTCTGTGGGGCGGACAGGGGTTGCTCTGGATCAGAGCAGCCGCTGTCAATGGTGGGCCAGGTGCCCTGCAGACAGAGGCTGCTCTGTACAGCCCCAACTGGTTACCCTGAACCAGGAAGCATCACCTATTAAGAGTGATGCTTCCTGGTTAACTGGGTAACCTTTCAAGTCCCAAGAAACTGGACATACAAAGTGATGGACTGTAGCTACCAAATTATTTGCTACCACTCAAGAAAGAGATCTGGAAATCATTGTGGCTAGTTCTCTGAAAACATGCACTCAATGTGCAGCAATCAAAAAAGCTAATACTGTTAGGAACCATTTGGGAAGAGATAAATAAAACTATATGAATCCGTGGAATGCCTGCACCTTGCATACCACGAGTAGTTTCTGGGCTCCCCATCTCAAGGTTAAAATTGGAAAAGGGACAGAAAAGGGCACAAAAATTAAGGCTATAGAACGTTTGTGTGAGGAGAGATTAAAAAGATTGTGACTTTTCATCTTGGAAAAGAGATTGCTAAGGGGCAATATCACAGATGTCTATAAAATCATGAACGGCGGAGAGCAAATGAATAAGGAAATAGTATATTTACTCCTTCACATAACACATGATGCAGGGGTCACCCAGTGAAATTAACAGGCAACAGATTTAAAACAAACAAAAAGAAGCACTTCACACAATGCACAGCCTGTGGTACGCATTGCCAGCAGATGCTGTGAAAACCCAAATTGTGTCAGGGATGGAGGATAGGTCCATCCATGGCTATTAGCCAAGATCGTCAGAGATGCAACCCCCTGCTCTAGGTGGCCCTGGCGTCTGACTGCCAGAAGCTGGCTGTGGATGATGGGATGGATTATTACTGTATGTTCTGTTCATTCTCTCTAAAGCATCTCGCACTGGCTACTGTGGGAGGACATGGACCTTTGGTCTGACCCAGGGTAGCCGTTCTTATGTTCTTTTTATCTGCTTACTGCATAGACAATGTCACACTATTTGTCAAAAATAAACTCAGTCTGTTTCTGTTAAAATGAAGTCTGTTAACTGCTACACAAATTTTTGTTCCAGGACATGCTTCTGTGAAGTGTCTATATTGGAACTTAGTAATTACAGGCACCTCATGAGCTCTTGCTACCCTGAACTGTACTTGCAGTCAGTTCTAGACAAGTGATCTGCATCCGTTTTCATATTGGTGGGCTACCTCACATATCACAGTAAGAATGTGAAAATAGACAATGTCTATGGGTATCAACCATATTTTTGCTAATGTAGTGGCCATTCATTCACTAAAGGGGAGAAGTGCCAAGTACCTGGCTCCTTTGCACTGAAATACACTATGTAAAATGTGAGTTAATTACTAATATAAGGATAGCTGTTTCTAATGCCCTGCAGTTCTCTGAGGCTTGGGATTTCTAGGCACAGAAGAAAAATAGCAGGCCACATACAGCCTTCAGTAGAATACTGATTTATCACCCTTAGATGTTCTGGGATGGCACATGGCCCTTAATCTGGAATGTTTGTATTCCTCAGTGTGTCAGACCAGTATGACTCAGTCTCTTTTCAGTTAATTCAGCCCCATCATATAGTGCTTACTCCTACAAAACTCCCCATTAATTTATCTAAGGACAGAGCTCCACAACTTTTTTTTTCTTCTCTAATGTGCTTCATATGACTGTCTTGTGCAGCTAAATTCTGGAAGAAGGGAGTTGGGCCCATCTTCTTTTATACTGGGAATGAAGCAGACATTTGGGAATTTGCTCAGAATTCTGGCTTCATACTTGAGCTGGCCGAAGTGCAGAATGCGCTAGTGATTTTTGCTGAGCATGTGAGTATTTTATTGACTTGCTCCCCATATCTTATCTCCATCAGATGTTGTCAGCACAGCCCTCCACAGTCCCAGGATAAGTAGACACATATCCCTTCCTCTGAAATGGCTGTGCTCCTGCCATGGACAAGCGAGACATACTAGGGACTCTGCTCTACTGAACCATGTACTCTAAATGAGTTATGTCCATCAGTGGTGCTGTATAAATACATTAATTCAGCAAAATCTAGGCTGGCTTGTGCTTTAGATAATTTTTTAGTGTGGCTCTGAATATTCCATACCTTCACAGCCAGAAAATGGTGTGTTGTTGTGCATAACGTGATCATTTGATCCAATGGTTCTTACCTGATTTATTACCCGTTTAAGCTCTCTGCAGTCTGGGGAGCTGTATGGATTTGAAGGTCTATAAATGAGGTGAGCGGGTCAGTCTTCATTACTTAGTCAACCCTTGTTTTTTGCTTTGTTGGCATCTCTGCTAAGATAGCCAGCAAAGGGGACAGTTAATAGCGGCTGTTTTAACTTGTCGTGTGACTACCTGTTAGTTACAAAAGTGAACAACTACTACGGCTTTTGATGTAGGACCCTACACAGCTGTAGGATGGGAATGACAATCGGCTGCTGCTGACACTGGCAGGCTTGGCCATGGTTACCCAGGAGGAGGGAGGTATGATGCAGCAGATCCAACATCTCTTTATGCCTCCTTTCTTTCAGCGGTATTATGGGGCCTCTCTTCCATTTGGGAAACTGTCAATGCAGCAGGGACGTACCAGCTTGCTCACTGTGGAACAAGCCCTTGCCGACTATGCAGTGCTCATTACAGAGCTTAAAAAGCAGTATGGGGCCAGGGACTGCCCAGTCATTGCCTTTGGAGGCAGGTAAATGCTCATGTCTCCGCAAGTACTTACCTTTCTCTACACTGTTCCCTAACTGGTGTGATGCTGTTCTTATTGGCTTCCCCTCCAGTACAAATGCACACTTTTCCAGGATCCCTTACTCTCTCACTTCAGTTTTCTTTGCACTGAAGCATGATGGGTAAAATTGCACATGGGAGGGTATAACTCCGGAATGCTACTCCTTCCCCCACTTACTAAACTAGTTTCCTGACACTTGATTCCTGATATTTGCTGCTTCAGTCCTGTGCTAGGACACAAGACCTAAAATAGGAGCGCATGCTGAGTAGTCAGTTCCTAATCTCTTCCCTGCAAGGCAGCATAAGATAAGGAGATGAAAGGTTTGGTTGGTGCCTTAATGAAACAGGTAATTCATCTCAGGTATTGGGGCTGGCAGTCACAGTCAGTCCTGGCTTCTGGTCACTTTATAGACACAGTTAAGTGAAAATCTCTCAGCAGTATCAGTGAACGAGTTAGTACCAGGCCCTGTGCCTGTCCCTGAGCCAACCGGGAGAGCTGGATCCCAGGAACTTCAGAAGACTGGGTTGCTTAATGTAAAAAAAGCAATAAAATGCTTCCTAGTGGAAGATAGGAAATGGGTAATGAGATAAAAGAGTTTTTAACCCTCGAGTTTCCAGATCACATTAACCACAGGGTGCTGGAGACTAGAGGGATTTGACTAGAGTAAAGCACTTCAGTAGCATGTGTGAAGGGACTCCCCATGTCAGTTGTGTCTGCATTATGGAAGCTATTGCAGTCACTGGTAGGCTCAGTAAGGAGGCATTTTGGCAACTGAAATACCCCCTGGGCCTTGGAGGGGCGCTTGATGAACAACTTTGACTGGGCCACAGAGAGGAATCTTTGTGGGTAAAGAGAGGGCCTTCAGTCTCTGCATATGCCCAGAGCTGCCTGGGGATTTGGGGAAAGGTCAGCAAGTACATATTGAGGGTGTACACCCCAAATGTAACTGACTCGTGTGTGTGAACTGTAGATGCCCTCACACCCAAGATGCCTTCTGCAGATTAGAGACCGGTTGCTTCTGTCTCAATCCAGTGGTTGCAGCAAAGCTCTGGCCGTACCCCGGGGGTCTCGCGCTACTGGTGGATCATGTTAGCCTCAGAGGCGCGCTGTGGTCCTCCACACAGCCTCTCCCCTTGCTAGAGGCGGGGGCCACAGCTCACCGAGCCATACTCCTCGCAGGCTAGTTCATGGTTTCAGGGTGAAAACTCCTCTAGTCTTGGTCTCCCCTCTTGGGGAAGTCTGCACTGGCAGGGGAGGCTTAGGGGGGAACCAGGCCCTCGCACTACTCCGGGCTCCAGCCCAGGGACCCTAAGGCAGCAGCAACACACAGAGCTGTTTTCACTTCCAGCCTGGCAGCTTTATCCACTTCCCTAAACGATCCCTCCCAGGGCCTCTCCTCTGGTACCTGCTAGTCAGTCTCCAGCTCTTCTGTGCAGCACTTCCTCCTTCCGCTCCGTCACTCTGTCCTCCCCTCCGTACCCGGGGGAACCTTTTAAAGCAGCCCCACAGGCTTCTGTTGGCTGCAGGTGTGTGTTTAGCCGGCCCCTCCCGGCAAGTGCTTAACCAGCCCCAGGTGTCTGCCTGCCTTCGTGTCCTGGCAGCAGGCTCTGGGACTTTATTCAGGGAACAGAAAGCTCTCTATGCAGCGCCCTGCATGCCTGCCCTCCATTAGGGAGCGTCTACACAAGTCTCCTAGATCGATCTAGGGAGGCTAATGAGGGCGACCGGAATTGAAAATCGAGCCCGGGATTTAAATATCCCATGCTTGATTTGCATGTTCCCGGCCGGTCGCCATTTTAGAAATTGACTAACCCGAAGTAACTGCCCACGTCTACACGCAGCAGTGAAACGGGATTCTGGAATAAAGCCCCGAAATTGAATTAGGTGGTAAACCTCCTTCGAGTGCAGCAGCCTGCTGGTCTGGGTCTTTGGAAAGGAAAGGACTAGAGAGCTGCTCTGTTAAACTAAGATAGTCTCACTTAGATTTCCAGTCTCACTGGGTTGGGTGGGGCCAGAACTGCTGGCTTCACAAGGCCCAAATTACCAAACACATTTACTTTGGATCACAGCTCTTGAATGAAATAACCGTCCTCTCTCGCTCTTTCCTCAGTTACGGAGGAATGCTGAGTGCTTACATGAGAATCAAATACCCTAACCTTGTGGCTGGGGCACTCGCTGCGAGTGCTCCTCTGTTGTCTGTGGCTGGGATCGGAGACCCCAACGAGTTCTTTCAAGCTGTCACTGCAGTAAGTGGACACTTTGGTAGCTGGCTTGTCTCTAAGCGGCAGTGTCTCTCCAACCTGCCATTGCGTAGATCTGGGTGAAAGCTTAAGGAAATTGAATGTCTTGTGGGAAAGGCCTGAAATGCTTTTTAGGTGAACAAATGTCTCATTTAAGAGCTAAAATTGTCAAGGGAATACAGGACGCTGCATCTTTTAAAAACTAAATATTTGAAACCATTTCTTCTTTGTTCCCTGCCTACCCCAGCTCTGAGAGGTCTTCCTTGTGTGAGAGTTAACTTCTTCCCTAAAGCAGTGTCCAACATGCAGCTCCTTGCTCTGCTTTAGGTATTAATGGTGCCATTAATTATCATACAAACCTGACATTGGATTTTTGCTGGGTTTTTTTAGTGTAAAAAAGCTCTTCCTTTACTCCTACAATTGGAGGAGAGGGCAGAAGTTGTATCAACACCATCCTTAGGAGGGTACATAAGACTTGCCCAAGTGGCGTGCAGTCCGGAGGCAAGGACTGTAGACCTCAGAGCAGTTATCCATGTTTGTGCGCTTCCTCGTTTGGCTGCTCTAATCTTTCTCTCTTTAGAATTTTCAGAACGCAAGTCCAGCTTGTGCCAAGGCTGTGAGCAAAGCCTTCCAGGAAATCAACGACCTCTACTTGAGTGGAGGTAAGATGGACCTGGTTGCCCCAGCATAGAACGTCTGGGCAGCAGGCAGGTATCTCCCAGTGCCTCTTGGATGGAGACAGGTGCCATTTTTCAGCTGATTTGTTTAAACAGCTGTCCAGACCCTTCATGTAGGTCTGAGTGGCTTATTTTGGCATATGATGAAAGACTTGAGCTAGATTGACATGAGACCCTTTAATTGAAATAAGTGTGTCATCATTGAGGTTTGCACTAGCTTAATTAAACTAATTTAGTATCACACCTTTGGTTAGGTGGGTATCACTTCCTCATGTAGACAAGGCCTGGGGGGTGTTTTTATAAACACACACTACGACCACGTGATGCACAGACAGATGATGTGCATTGTGTGCAAGCTGACTGTGATGTCAGCCGCTGTTTGATGAGCTAAAGCAGCCCCTTCCTGTTTTTCTCCCTCTTCCTTCTTCCTTTTCACGTCCTTCACTTCGCGTTTGCTTGTCCCTGTTCTAACGCCTTTCTGCCGAGGTACAGGCAACATGTGCTGGGACCTCTAAAGCTACCTATGTCGCTAATTGTGGCTCAGTCAGCTAGTGCAGTGGGGTTTCCAGTTTGGGTAAGCCACCCTGCCAAGCAGCAGCAGGTAGGTCAGTGAAAGAACACAGGGTTATTACACCGGGGGGGAGGGAGGAGAGAAATCTGTGACCAGACACCCAAGCCTCAGTAAGTTAATACGTAGGGTTACAAACTCCGTTCTTATTTTCATAGCTTCATATTACCCCTGACTAGAGAGTCATAAGGAGTGAGCGAAACATGGCGTGACTGTGTGATATCAATTTACACTCTTAAGAGCGTTTGTATTGTTTCCCCCTGCAGCCTATGATAGAATCAGCAGTGAAATGTCCGTGTGCCAGAGACTTTCTTCCAAGGAAGACATCTACCAGCTGTTTGGGTTTGCTCGAAATGCCTTTACCATGATGGCCATGTTGAACTACCCTTACAAAACAGACTTCCTGGGTCACTTGCCTGCTCACCCTGTCAAGGTGAGTGCAAGGGTGCTGGAGGGGTCAAGAAGAGCTTTTAAACCCTCTAGAGACCATGAATGTTATCATGTTTTGAATTGTTTTCATTTTGTCCTGTCACTAAATAGATCTGGAACCAATTGCTCAGGTGTGGATGGCTGAGGTCAGCCTCAGCCAAACTCTGCTTTCACTCAAGTTACACACAATACAAGCACATTGACCCGAACTTTTAGAAGTATCTAAACATGTCAGAAGCCTCTGTCGTTCAGTTGTCCAACTTGAGACACCTTTCGCAGAGTGATAGGACTATTAAATCCCGGGCTCGATTTGCAATTCCAGTTGTCCTCCTTAGCCTCCCTAGATCGATCTAGGGGGCTAGTGTAGACGTGCCCTTAGAGTGCAGCAGCCTGCTGGTCTGGGTCTGTCACAGGGGACAGTGCTTGTGACAGGCCTTTGTCTGTCCCCACTGGGGGTCTGCACAGGAGACAGCCACGATCTTGCCTCGATGCTGCAAGCCAGTTGGGGCAGGCCCATCCATCAGGGCCCGTGCTGTGCAGAGCCATGTGCACGGATGGCAGCAGCCGAGCGATAGTGATCCTGTGCGCCATCTTGGAGCCAGCCCAGGACTTAGTCTAGAGTCTCCCTCAGCTCGAGGGGGAAGAGGGGGATAAAGCTGCTCGCTGCTTCATAAGAAACAGTGCTTTGTGGGGGTTGGAACAGGCAGCTGCCTGGGAAGCTGCCTGCCCTGGCTCAGCTCTCGGAGAGCCCGCACCAAAGACCCCCATGTGCGCTGCAGCCAGACGTTTCCTTACAGGGAACAACGAACTGCGCATCGACCTCTGGGACTCTGAAAACAACCACGTGTTTGCCAAGTACCAGTCATTCAGGATTGCAGGGGAGACGGAGAAATACACACTCCAGCTTGGAGGCTTTGCCGGAGGCCAGGCAGGTAGGTGCTGGACAGCGTCTGGACCCTCTAGCGCGGAGGAGAAACCAGGCGAGCCCAACAGGCCAGTGCAATCCCTGCCACCCGCAGTCTGGTCATTAATCACAGTTTTGGGTTTTTTACAGAAAATTTACATCACTTTTCTACATCTCCAATTGCTAAATAGTAAATTAAATTAGTAATGAACCACTAGTGTGTGGTTCACTAAAACTACTGAGAATTTCACTCCAAGTGTGGAGAGAGCAGCAGCAGCATCGCAAACCCGTGTACAAGACGCAGCCCGTAGTGGGGGGCCAAACCTCCCTCCTGGGGTAACAAAGGGACACACGTAGGTTTGACTCGTCAGCAGCACGGTCCCAAGAAGAGCAGGGCTCCTGCGGATATAATCGCGGGACTGATCTTCCTCATTGGGAGATCCAGAGTTAATCTTCTGGGCTCTTGGATTTCCAAGCACAGCCCCCAGTACTGAGAGGGACGCACATGCCCCGCATGGTGCGCTCAGGGTCTATCCCCCTTCCCAAAGGCAGACAGGCAAACCGCAGCCACCCGGCACTCCTGCGAGGGACTCCTGGAGCCCAGTGGCGTGGGAGAGGGAGGGAACTGGCCACTTGGACTAGACAAGCGACGTTGTTTTGCTGCAGGAGATTCCTTTAGCTACCACAACAACATGCCGTTTACAACCAGAGACCAGGACAACGATCGCAGCTCCGGTAACTGCGCCGTGAGCTGCAAGGGAGCCTGGTGGTACAGCAATTGTCATTTCTCCAACCTGAACGGGAAGTACTGGCTGGGCGCCCACAAGACCAGTGCGGACGGTGTGAACTGGAAAACCGGCAAAGGCTACAAGTATTCCTACCAGCTCTCGGAGATGAAGTTCCGGCCCGTGTAGCCCAGCAGGAAAGCCGGGCTCGGCGTCCTTGGATCCTGCTACTTTCCATGCTGCATCTAAGGGCTCTTTCCCATCTGCCCAGACCCGCAGCCAGTCCCTGTGTTCATTTTCTTTGGTAAGGTCACCCCCGCCCTGCTCCTCCTTCCGCCCACTCTTCTGTGACCCTAAAACATTGGCAGACCTCCACTCACAGGTTCTGCCTGGGCACTCAGCCCTGGATCTCAAAGCAGCTATTCTTCTACCAAGGCTTTCGTCAGCCAGGTACAGAGAGTGGGGAACTGACATTCATCTGCAAATGTGACACCATTACCCTGGGCTTGTACCAAGATGTGAACTGGATGTCGCATTATAAAGCCAGCCTGCCCTGCCGTTAACACAGGCCACTTCCAGCCCACTCAACCAGCCTCAATAGCACTAGCCCTACATTTGACAGGTACCGTCCCCCCTTCTTTATCTGCACTCACAGCAGGACCAAGCACCATCTAGGCCATCCCTAAAAGGAATTTGACTAACCTGCTCTTAAAAGTTTCCAATGATGGAGACTCCACAACCTCCTAGGCAATTTATTTCCATGCTTAACCACACTGACAGGTTGGACTTTGGGAAAAACTTCCTATCATCAGAGGGTAAGGAGAATAATTTTTCCTCCCTCCTCCAGGTAATACCCTTTTAGGTACTTGAAAGCTGTTAAGACTCTTCTTTTCCAGATTAAACAAACCCAGTTTTTTTAGTCTTCCCTCTAGACCTTTCATCCTTTTTGTTGCTCTTTCTGGACTTTCTCCAGTTTGTCCACATGTTTCATGAACTGTGGTGTCCAGAGCTGGATGCATTACTCCAGTTGTGGCCTAATAAGCGTGAAGTAGAGCGGAAGAATTACTTCTTGCCTTGCTTGCAGCATACCTGCTAATACATCCCAGAACGGTGTTTGCTTTTTTTTGCAACAGTGTCTCACTGACTTGTATTTAGCTTGCGCACCACTATGACAGAGATCTTTCTGCAGTACTCCTTTCTAAGCAGTCATTTCCTATTTTGTATGTCTGCAGCTGATTGTTCCTTCCAAAGTGCTGTACTTTGCATTTGTCCTGATTGAATTTCATGTTATTTATCTCAGACTATTTCTCCAGTTTGTCCAGATTATTTTTAATTTTAATTCTATACTCCAAAGCATTTGCAATCCTTCCCTCTTGGTATCATCTCCAAACCCTGTAAGCATACTCTCTGTGCCGTTATATAAATCACTGGTGAAGATACCAAACAGAAGCTACTAGTGAGGCTCTACTACTAGAAACATGGCCTAAGAACAGTCACACTGGGTCAGACTAAAGGTCCATTTTAGCCCAGTGTTCTGTCTGCCAACAGCAGCCAGCACCAGGTGCTTCTGAGGGAACAAACAGGACAGGTAACAATCATGTGATTACCTGAAATACTGCATGCAATTCTGGTTTCTCATATTTTGAAAGAAATTCAAATGGGAAGGGATGCAAAGACGGGCTCCTAGGATGATCTGAGGAATGGAAAATCTTCTTTACGAGAGGAGACTTAGTAGCTTGGCTTGTTTAGCCAAAAGAAATGAAGGGTAAGGGGAGGTCTGATAACTTTCTATAAAAACATGTTGTTTAGCCAAAAGAAATGAAGGGTAAGGGGAGGTCTGATAACTCATGTTTTTATAGAAAGTTAAGTGCCAATGTTGACACAGGACAAATGGCTAAAAACTGGCCATCGACACAGGTAGGCTTGACAGTTGATGTTGGTTTCTAGCCATCAGAGGGTGAAGTTGTGGACCAGCCTCCCCGGGGGAGTAGCGGGGCCAAAAGCCTAACTGGGCTCCAGCCTGACAAGTTTAGGGAGGGGATGGTGTGATGAGCACGCCCACAGTGGCACATGGCCCCTCTGGGACTGGCTGGAGATGGGGCATGAGCTGAGAAGGGCTCCAAGTCGCTCAGAATCCTGGTTGCTTAGGGTGGAACCCATCACCGTATTCGGGGCTGGGAAGGAACTTTCTCCTAGTTAAAACTGGGAAAGACCGTAGGGTTTGTCACCTTCCTCTACAGCGGGGGCATGAGTCACTGGTTGGTTTAAAGTAAATGGTGGCATCTCTAACATCACTTGAGGACTTGAGTAAATGTCCGAGGTTAGGGGCTGATTGCAGAAGTGGGTTTGTGAGGGGCTGTGGTCTGCAGTGTCCATGAGTCAGACTAGATGATCAGACTAGTGACAGGTGGCAGAACAAAGAGCAATGGGCTCAAGTTGCAGTGTGGGAAGTCTAGGTTAGATATGAGGAAAAACTATTTCCCTGGGAGGGTGGGGAAGCACTGGGCTGGGTTCCCTAGGGAGGGGGTGGAATCTCCATCCCTAGAGGTTTTTGAGTCTCAGCTTGACAAAGCCCTGGCTGGGTCGATTGAGTTGGGGTTGGTCCTGCCTTGGGCAGGGGGCTGGACTTGATGACCTCCCGAGGTCTCTTCCAGCCCCAGGATTCTGTGATCATAATGGTCCCTTCCGACCTGGAAGTCAGTGAGTGGTGGGTCCTTCCCCACCATGGTTTTTAAGCTGTCAGGACAATCTTTGTGGAAGTGAGAACTCACCTGTTTGCCATTTAAACCATGGGCCTGGAAACTGACCCAAGTGTCTGTCTCTTCCATAGGCTGCCTGTGCCCAGATTCTTGCCCACCAGGACCCCGTTAAAGGGCTGGCAGCGCTTGTTGGTGAGTTACGTGGCTCCGCTTAGTCTTATTTGAAACTCCTCGAAAGCACTGACTGCTGAGCTGTCCCGCACGGTCTGTGCTGCACTGCGGCGGCACCAGGACTGCAGTGCTCCAGCCTATTGCACCTTCGGCTCCCACCTGGCACAAGTGGTATCTTGGGGGTCTCTGGTTTTCAGTGGGGGGGTTGAGGATGTGTCTGCGCTGCAAGGGAAGGTGGGTGTGCAGCAGACAGCCGTAACCGTGGTCACTGCCACCTCGCTAGCAAGGGGACTGGTATAGGGACCGACTAGCAGCCATGCTGCTGGGGACCCTGGGAATGTACTTGGGCTGCTGGCTCTGCATTGCTGTTGTTGCCCACACTAGCTGGATGATAATCGGGTCCTGTAGATGTTCCTCGACCTCTTGGGCGCCTCACCCGCTGACTTTGAGACTTTCTTCCAGGTCATTAGGCCTTCTGAAAATCTTACCCACACGTCAGCTCAACAGGCTGGATTCAGCAGTCACGGGGGCAGGAGGTCAGCTGCACGATCCTAAAGGTCCCTTCTGGCCTCACATCTGTGTTTTTTATATTGGGCTCACTAGGGGTGGAAGGTAGCGGGCTTGTGGGCCCAAGGGGACTTGCAAGGAGATGTTTGATATGTCACAGGACCATGGAGTACGATCTGCAGCACCGCACACTTCTTTAGAAGCACTTTTTAAAAGAAAACGTCACCCTTAAAAGGTTTGCATCTGTTAGATTCCAAAGGGAAAAATATTTATTTTTAACATCCCAGAAGCATCCAACCCCGAGCCCTGTGGCTGAGACACCTCTCCTTTTCCTCTCCCCTTCTGCCTCCGCTGCCCCTCAGCGTAGCGCCCCAGCACCAGCCAAGGCTGCACTGCTCCCAAGTCACAAGCTGCAGGGCTGGGGAGGAAGTGAGGAGAGCTGTCGAAATGCTGCGGGCAGTTGCCATGTGCTCTGTCAGAGCAGCTCCTCCACCCGTCCTCTTCCTGCTCCCTTTAAAAAGCCAAGGAGGGCTCTTGTTTGTTGGTGATGAACAAGCTGAGAGTGGATCTTTTCCTGCTGTTCCCACTGGGCGAGGATGGCTCTCCTCCTTCCTGCTGTTCGGCTGACCTCTCCCAGGACAGCCTAATCATGCAGGAGGCATGGTCGACCAAAGCAGTAGGCAGGGAGCCAGCTTTCTTCCATATCCTCCCGTCAGGATCATAGATGAACACGCTGTCGTCTTTACTCATGTGGTGCAGCGAGCCGCCTCCTGTGATGTAGAGCCGCGAGTGGAGCACAGCGACGCTGAACTGGCAGCAGGCGAAGGGGGAAAGTGTCAGCGTGGTCCACTGGTCAGTCATCGGGCAGTAATGTTCCGTCTCGTTCACTTGAATCCATTCCTCTGCCTGCAAGGAACCAGAGCAAGTCTGACTTGCCACCAGGCCGCGGGGAATGGCACTGGAACACTGGCTAACTGTGCCCCACCTGCCACCAGTGTCTCAAGACCACCTGCTTAGAAGCAAATTGTTCTTAAACCCTTTGCCCACCAGGGGGCATAAGGTGCCTCATGCATAGCTGAAATGTGGCAATCGTATTAAAAGTCAAGATCATCTCATCTGAGGAAGTGGGGCTTGCCCGAGCGCTCGGGATACCATCCTGTTAGTCGGTTAGTCTGCGAGTGCCACGGGACCGCTCAGTTTTGTAAAAGTGGTTTTCAGTGATATTAAAGGCATCTTAAGAAACCCAAATGAAGCGCCCACGTGGTGTCAGAATGGAGGACTGCAGGGGACAGCAAGCACGCCTAGGGGCCGACAGCCCCGGGTCCGTCTCCCACTGGATTCAAGGCACGAGGGAGAAGCCCCTGAAAGGTGGGTCATATTGTGGTAACAGCAGCACTTACAGCATTTAACGTCCTGCCTCCAATACAGAAGATCCTGTCTGTGACTGCAGCCATTCCGTGGTCACAGCGGGCGAAGGCCATGGCCCGGTTAGCGATCCAGCGCCGCAGGCGAGGGAGGTAGCTGTGCATGTCCCTCAAGGTCTTGCCGGCCGAAAAGCCCCCTGGAAGAGAAACACGGAGGGAATCCCTCTGCCCTGCGAAATCAGCTCTCAGCAGAGGCTCACAGGACTCTACAAATGGCATGAAGGGGTCTTACCAGCCATCACTGCCTATGTGAAGGTGAAAGGAAAGCATCCCAGCTGCACAGGCAGCCTTGCCAACCGGCTGTACCCCAAAGACCCAGCTGTCTCTCCTCCTCGGTGGGGAGGGGCTGTCTCAGCAGACAGGGCGTGCTGGAGCAGCATCAGAAGTCAACCCTTGGCTGTGAAAACTGTTTCCCGCAAAAGGGTTTTCCCCACATCCCTTCCTGCCGGCTGAGCTGAATAATGCAGACAGTCAGAATCTTTGAGGCAAAGAAAAGGGGGGGATGGGCTGTCAGATCTGGCTGACCATGTTAACTCAGGCTTGCACAAACACTCCCCACAGCCCCTCTGCCTGGATACAGCATGTTCTGTTGTAAGCTCTGCCACTAGCATTGCAGACCCAGGGTTTGGTGTGATTGGCCAGAGCTGCTACTACAAATGGAAGTGTGGGACAGGGCTGCCTGTGACAGCAAAGGACTAGAGTCACTGACCCTGGGGGGTCCTTCCAGTCTAACTTCTGTGATCCACTGCCACCCGGGTCAGCACTTCACAATGGTTTTAATTCATTCATTCTCATAACACCTGGAAGGTCGGGGAGCATACTTATCCTCACCGTATGGATGGGAAACTGAGGCCCAGAGGCTCAGTGACTTTCCCAAGGTCAAGCAGGAAGGCTGTAGTGGAGCAAAGAATTGAACTCGTGTGTCTCAGGCTCATGCTAGAACCGCCGGGCCATCCTTCCAGTCTACGTCAGAGGAGCACTCTTAGTGATACAAGAGCGTTGCACTGGATCCAGGTGTATTAGAGCTGCCACTTCAGATGGGCTCTTCTGCTTGTTTGGACACTCACGTAGAATTGCCGTGACTCCTTCACCCTAAGATACCACAGCAGTATCCCAACTGCACAGTTCAAATCAAAACCTGGAGGCCGAGCTTGATTATAGGGCTGGTCATTTCTAGCCTTAAATCTAAGTCAAAAATAAAGGTTCCTACTACAATGTCAGATCATCTTGTAGCACATAAGTCACAATATAAATGTCATTGTATTAACGACGCGCTGTCTGCGGACGTGGCAGGACTCCTGGTGACTGCACCTTACACTGGGTGGCCAGGTAGTGATTGCTGTAGGAACCCTTCATTCTTGTGTTCTGTCATGTTTAGGACAGAGCATTAGCTCAGTTTGGTTTTCCCATTTATAAGGCTGTTTTCAGTTCCTCCTAACTTGCCAAACCGAGTGGCTGAAATGAAATTTGCCATGACAAGTGCTTGCATCAGGCTGCTGCTTAAAAGATTCCAGCCAGAACAGTTTAGCTGTTTCCAAGACTGAAGCGAGGGAAATGGCCTATGGAAAAATTCTGGTGACTTTTTCCTTGAAAAGTTCCAGTGTCCTCATGCTTGGAGCAGGGGCTAGAAAGCAGGCGGGGGAGTACAGCTTGTGATCATGTAGCTAAAGAACGTACCAAGTGCTTATGCGCAAAAGGACTGAATTCGGGTCGCCCTGGCAACCTTACTTGTGTCCTAACTTTGAGCACTCGACTTTACAGCCTTAGCAACTGTCTTAACGGGCCTGAACGTAAATCAGGGGCAAGCAAGATCCAGCCCATGGGCTGCCCTGATGGGACCCTCTGGCTCAGATCTGCCCCGTGCTGCTTCAAGCACCTGGCAGCTCCATGAGGCTCTCTGCTTTAGGCGCTGGGGGGAGGGGAAGGCTTCCCGCGCTGCCCCCTCCCCAGCAAAATCTCTCGGCTCCCATTGGCTGGTTTCTGAGCACTAGGGGCTGAGAGATTTTGCTGGGGTGGGGGCAGTGCATGAAGCCTCCCGGCACTCAGAGCAGAAAGCCAGGGGAGCAGCCAGCTGTTTTGAGCAGCCTGGGGCTGCGGCAGGCAGGGAGCCTGCCCCAGGGTCCTGTAGGGCTGCTGCTCAGGAGCTACCTCAGTAAGTGCCTCCTGACCAGAGCCTGCCTCCGGCAGCCCCCGCCCACTCCCCAACTCCCTTGCCCAGGCCACCACCCAAATCCTGTGCACCCCTCCCCCAGATCACAACTCCCTCCCAAACCCTGCACCCCTCTTACACCTTTCCCCAGGCCAGAATCCTTCCCTGCACCCCTGCCTCCGGACACAGCCCCCTCCTTCACCCAAACTCCCTCTCAGACCCCACACCCGCACCCCGAGCTCCCTTCTACACCCACCCTCCATCCCAGACCCCTCCATAGAAAAGTTCAGCCCTTGACCACTTACCATCAAAAAGTAAGTGGGGGGGAGGGAGTGTCTCCCCCATCAAAAAGTTATTGCCCACCCCAGTGTAAACTCTGCAGTCGTGGCAGTGCTCCCCGCAAGGCTCGGGCTTGGTGCGAGGTGCTGTACGAAACGTCACATCGCGAGAGACGGGCCTTGCCCTCAGCAGCTTACCCCTCCTTACTTCCTGTGCTTATTTCCTAGGTTGAGCAGTGCCGGGGTTAGTCCCACGCCTGCCATTAAAATGCACGTCCCGTGGGTGGCTAGAGATGCGGCCGTGCTTGGCCAGCCTCCTGCTAGCTTGCTTTCTGAAAGGAAAGCAGCTGGAATTTGGTCCCAACACCCTGGTCAAAACTCCTGTTCTGACCACACATTCCACGGGCTCTCTTACTGCAGCCTGTGTAAGTCTCCCCTGCAGGGCACTGCCCTGATGTAATGGGTGGGGCTGAGCTGGGAGGGGACCAGCACTACCCCATACAGCACACTGGACTTCCCTGGGCACTCGCCCAGCCACGCACTGGCCTGGTCAGGCCGCCAGGAAGCTCCGGAGGTTCCCAGAGCCACGTTACCTGACACGTAGAGGATTCCCTTGTGGGTGGCGCCTGCGTGGTCAGCCACGGGGACGGGGAGGGGAGCCGCGCACTCCCACTGGTTCTCCGCAGGCGTGTATGCTTCCATCGTGTTGGTGAGCTTCCCCAGCAGCGTCCCGCCGCCCACGGCCAGGATGCGCCCAGACAGCACGTCCGCATGGAAGCGCGTTCGCCTCTCCAGCATGCTGGAGACTTGGAGCCACGCTGCGTTGCGGGGATCAAACCGGAACACCTAGGAGGGACGGCGGTCACGGAGCAAGGCCGGGAGCCGCGCAAGGCAGCTGGCTGGGGCGTCACTGCGGCTCGAGCAGACGCACCTCTGCTAACTTCAGTCAGGCACTGGGTACTGGCACAGCCAAGCCGTGGCTTTGCGGGTGTGCGGGGCCTGTACCAGTCTGCCCCCAGCCTTGAGTAACTCCTTGGGCAGCTGGCCCCTGCTGCCGCCTGCATTGCCTCAGGCTCCCAGCTCGGCTGCACGAGCCAGCTCGATTAGAATGAGCGTGGAATGGCGACACATGCTGGGATTACACTGAGGGAGTAATATCCCAACCTTCACGGTCTCCTTTAACGGCTCAGTGTGCCCAGCCCTGTCCACAGACAGGACCCGCATGCCAGAGAGCTTTTCGAAATCTATGCAATGGCTGGTGGGCGCACACAAGCTGCAAGTGCCCTAGACTAACTCCTGCTGTTGCGTCTTGGGGCAGAGGGGCCGGTCTGAATGATCCCATTTGAGAGGGCCTGGACTGGGCAGTAGAGGTCGAAGGCCATGAGGATCGATTGCTGAGGCCCATTTCTACTACTAAAAACGTTGAGGTTGGCCTGGTTTGGGGCTGGCGTACGAGGGTTGCCAATGCGATTCAAGGAGGTGGAATAAACTAAACCGCGATGGAGAGTAAGTGAGCTAACGTGTCTCCCAAAGGGCCTGGTGAGCCCCAACCCAGCGGGACCGGAGAACCAGACAGAGCGCTAGGAAGTCCCAGTAGGTGCGGGCCTGCCCTGACCAGCGGGAGAGGACTCCATTCCCTTCTCTAGCGCGACTGCCGCACCTCTGGGCTGCGCCACTGAGCAACCTGCGCTGTGCTGGGCAGCTCTTCAAGGAACGTGTCTCTGTTGGGCACCCCAGGGCCATGGGCTCTGCCGTGCTTAAGGCCAGCTCTTTCCAGCAAACGTTAGGCAGCTGAATAAGGGGCCTGATTTTTTCCCACTTACACTGGGCACCTGCAACATCCAGTGGCCTTGTGAGAGCTGGACACGTTGGAGCCTCTGTCTCAACAGGACTCCCGGGCCAGGTTCCCCCCGGCGCGCCTTACCTCGTTCGAAGGGCGTTTCCCAGAGGGATCGAACCTGGCCTGGCCGCCGAGAAGAAAGAGGAAGTCACCGATCACAGCCACGCAGTGGTTGTAGACGGGGGTGGGGAGGTCCCCGACCTTGCTCCATGCGCTGCAGCTCTCATCTGCAGCCCACATGTCTCGGCAGACTCTGTTGTCAGTGGTTCTGCCCCCCAGAACGAGCAGCGTCGAGGAGCTGGAGCGGACGCCTGTGTGCTGGCTCTGAAGGGCTGGCTGAGCGTAGAGCTGGGAGTGGTAGATTAGAGCCTCTTGCAGGTACCTGCGGCAGCTGGAGTCTGTCCTCATCACGGGCGTTTCCTGCACGTATCTCTGCAGATCCCGCAGGGGGATGAGGGGAAATCGAATTCTCCTTAGAATATCTGCTGCTCCTGGTAGCCTCGTGCTGTCATGCAGCAGCCAGCTTACGGCAGCGTTGAATAGCTGCAGCTCGGTGCATCCCGCCATGTCTGTCTTGTCTAAGATGTCACAGAGGGTCTCTCTGTCCAGCTCCTTCACGCCCTGAGGATCGGTCAGTATCTGGCGGTAGTGCCGCCCGACGTAGGCCCTTGCTTTCTGCCTCAGCTCTTCTGGACCAAGCCTCTTGGCGATGCTGAGTGTGTCCAGGCAGCTCCCGCCATCCAGGCTGCGCTCCAGAAACTGAAAGCACAGCTTGATCACCTCCCGCAGGAGCAGGGCTTCTGCTGCCTTGAGCGTCTCCTCAACGTTCTGCAGGGAGAGCTCCAGTTTGTTGGAGTAAATGAAGTTGAGAACGTTCCTCAGCCCCCCTGCGCTGATGGCTTTCAGCTGGACTCTGGCATCGCCGCTCCCGGCACGGCTCGAGTTTCCAACAAACAGGATCTTGCAGTAATTACTCGCCGAAGCCAAAATGATCTTGTGTGCTGGGAAGCGAACCCCCTCTGCCTCCAGCGTTACATCGCACAGCGCGCCCTGGGAGCGGAGGCTGCACGCTCCCTCCAGGAGCTTGGCCAGGTACGTGTCCGACACAAGCAACTGGCTCTGAGCGCTGAGCGACATTCCCTTGGAAAGCTGCCTGTGAGCAGGAATCTCTGCAAGTCTCAGGGGTGATTTCTCCCCCCCATGTCGGGTCTCCAGTCTGGCTGTGGGCTCCCCAGACTCCAGTCTGTTGCGGGATCGCTAAGTGCTGGGTGCGCTGCAGAGGAGACCGATCCACAGGCTAGGAGCACTCACCCTGCTGTGTCTGGCGTGTGTTCCTGTGGGGCTGCTATATGAGGAGGTCATTTGAGTGGCAGGCAGCAAACAGAGCTTCATTCATCCACACAAAGGCGGCCACAGTCTCCGCCAGCTCCCATGCTACGCCTGATTGGCTTGCGCTGGCCAGGTACTTGTTTTCAGCTGGGCCAGTCTGGGCATGTCGCCCTCCCTTTCTCAATCAGTGATCAAACAAAATTCTCTCTGCAGGGCTGGCATTGGCCAGTTTGCTCAAGTTGCAGTCTGGAAGCGGCCCTGGGGGGTGGACAGCCACTAGGCAGGACAGTTTGTGTAGGAGACTGTGCAACAGCTGACGTGCCTTAGGCGGAGGCTCACGCAGGCCGGAGACAAGGGTTGGGCTGAGATGGCCTGTTGCGGACATTGGGGTATTGCAGCAAAGAGGGAGAGGGTTTTGCTGACCTCTGACTATGCAGATGGAGAGCTGCACTCTTCACTATGGATTGGCTCCAAATGGCGCACAGCTTTCTAGTTCGGTTACCCTGTCCACACCCCCGGTCTCTGTCTGCTCCAGCAGGTCTCTGCAGGAGTCTTTGGGATTGCGCTGGTTAGTGCAGACACTGAACTGGTAACAGCCTAGCTGAACTCTTTGTGCTCGACAGGAGTGTTCTACAACTCAACTGGCATGGTGCCCTGTTACGACGTCTACAAACAGTACCGAAAATGTGCAGACCCAACCGGCTGCGGCACTGGCCTGGATGCCGAGGCATGGGATTACCAGGTATGTGGCTTGAGGGAATTCCTGGACTCTGCTGCAGCTCCTCCCCCTTTGCATCTTGATGGTTCCTGTTTCCATCACAGGCTTGTACCGAGATCAACTTAACCTTCAACAGCAACAATGTAACTGACATGTTCCCTGCGATGCCGTTCACTGAGGCTACGAGACAGCAGTACTGCTTCAGCAAGTGGCTCGTGCAGCCACGCAGGAACTGGCTGCAAACCATGTTCTGGGGCAGCGGTAAGCGGCACGTTGCTGTCCCTGCGTGTTGTATTTCCCTCCCTCGGCTGGAGAGCACTAAGGGGAAGGGTTCGCTTGCTTAGAATGAAGGTGGCAAGTGATTCTTACAGTTGCAGCTCTTCTTGCTTAGGCACTGCAGTTGAATCAGCTAGTCTCCATGCCGCGGCCTCCTCCCATTTCCCTTACGCCTCCCCTCTGAGCATTACTACCTCCACCAACCCAGCTCAGACATTCTGCTGGCTTTTCCCAGTTCCTAATTTGACTCTCTTCTCCTCCCTCCCAATTGATTCTTGCCCAAACTCAGCAGACTGGCTGCAGCAAAGCATTTAGGCACTGCAGTTGAATCAGCTAGTCTCCATGCCGCGGCCTCCTCCCATTTCCCTTACGCCTCCCCTCTGAGCATTACTACCTCCACCAACCCAGCTCAGACATTCTGCTGGCTTTTCCCAGTTCCTAATTTGACTCTCTTCTCCTCCCTCCCAATTGATTCTTGCCCAAACTCAGCAGACTGGCTGCAGCAAAGCAT